AATCATAAGCATGGCTTATGTTTATATTAATTAATAATTATTGCGGTCACTAAATTCGAATCTGAAATCAAAATAACTAAAAACAATGTTGCCGATCCAATAAGGGGCCTGAAATAAAAGGAATGTGTTAAATTTGAAAAATATTCATTAAATTCACGTAAAATTTAGTTATATTTGGTATTTTTTAAGTTGGTTTTAAAAATTCTTAAATAAAAATGTTATTTAATTATAATAATAATAATGTTTACGTCTATCTTACAAGAAATTGGTTGAAAAAAAAATTATTTAAAAAAAATCTACTTCAGAAAATCTTTAAATATTATATGGTACAAACTCGTGCCTTAAACAAAAGGTCGGACACGGTCGGATTCAATATTTAGTATTGTAGTTTAAAATTTAATTGGTGAAACCTGGACAAAATGACTTATAACATTATCTTTAAACTGCTTATTAAAAAATTCACTTGAATATTTCATTAAATAAATTTTAAATTTAACCTCATATAGAACTGTAGAAGAATAACCAAATTTACAAAATTAAAACCGATCGCCCCTATCACTTTTGGCGTTTTTTTTTTTTAACTTTAGAAATACATTTTTACTTTTTCAGAGCGCTGCGTCAACTAACACTTTCACACTGATCATCGAAATAGTTGCAAATGGTCGGGACCTCTGTTAGACATATTTCGATAGCTGTAACATCAGTTTAGCCAACCCAAGAGAATTAGACGCCTGAATCGATACTATATTTTTTTATTTATAGGCACGAATTGGGGAGCAAATATCACTGTGCGACGTCTGAGAGACAGTCATTTTCGCCCTCGGTTTGAACGGGGTCAGGAACACCATTATGATAATTGAAAACCAAACATTGATTTGAAATAAATTATTTCTTAATAAGTACTATTAATGAAAACAAAACAGAGCGGAAATTTCGATATTACTGATAAAATTAGATTTTTTTAAGTATCTCAAAAAAAAAAGAAGAAAAATGCTTATTCATCTTAAAGCGAAATTAAACGAATCAATGGAGAAATTTGTTATAACAAGTATAAACATTCTAGGTGGATCTCGGGACCTATTAAAATATTTCAGATATACTTAACGGCAGCGGCACACGCTAAATAAAAATAAAGCACAATAAGCACACTAGCCTCGGAGCTGAACATAGTAGAAGAGATTAAGTCTGCACATCGCTTTTTTACTTCAATAGTGCCATAATCAAAAAAAGGTGCAAAAATTTATTTAAGAATGCAAAAATTACCGCCACTATTTTTCTATTCGTCATTGCATAGCTGTATCGAAAAAAAAATTAATTTTTACTATGAGAATCTTTTTCGAGTTTGACACTATTCAAGTAAATTAGCGATATGTATGTATATGTTATACCCTTATTACTAGAAATTTCCTTATTTTCGAATATCGAATAGCAATTTCTAATATGTAGTACATGATAAAAGTTTTAAGCCCATCTAAGCACTCGGAAATTGGTGATCAACAGTTTTCATAGCAAATGCACATATATACAATAATTCATAAGCCCACCCATCGTCTACATAGCATTAAGATCTGAAACACTGAACTATTAAGTCGCATTACATTAATCACTTCCAGTGCTTTCAAAGGTTACAATTAACCGCACAGATGTTTTCAATAAAACTTTGTGGCAGTCGTCAAGCAGAATGCACTGCTGAGTGCAACGAATGAATTGTAGGCTATAGCTTAAGCATAACGCACACGCATGGGCTAACACACACACATTTCAATGTGCATACTCGTATAGCCGAATATCTGTTGTCAATACTTTTTTTTACACGTTTAATATTTTCCGATTTCTCTGATCCGCAAGAAAGCATTTATGCCTCACACAGTTGTTAATCCATTGCATCATGGGGATGTGCTGAATTGTCGGTACCCAATACTCGGTACCCAATACTTCAAAAATATTTCGGTACCCAATAACGATTCTTTACATTAAACCGTGGCCGCTTAGTATATTTAAAGTTTATAAAAAAAAATATTTTTATACCATTTTATAAGATATCGGCTAAAAATATTATTATTTTATCAGTATTCACCTTCGACAGATGACGAAGCTTTTCAGGCATACAAAAATAATATCGTCCGAACGGTTTTTCTTTCATATTTTTGGCCTATGTGCGCTTTTATTAGAGGCCTAAATATTTTGGTATCGAGTACCGAAAGTATTGGATGCTTTTTAAATCGCTACCGAGTATCGATCAATACTTAAAAGTATCGACTCAGCACATCACTATTACATCATATTTACACGTGCGTGTGTATGTGCGCAGGTATCTTTTTGAGCAGTGTTTCACGTGTAGCCGTTGATCATTGATGATGGACAGATTTTCCTTATTTTACGCCAAACAAATTCATTGAAAACTTTTTGTTTGATCTACCTAAAACGATTAGTGGGCCATGAGCTGGTTGCCCAACAATTTTCTCACTTACTAATTGCAACAGCGAGATTTATCCGTCGGTATTTGTACATACATACATACATATGTGTTAGCAGTATGTGTATGTGGGTGCTTATGCATGTACATACATACATGTGAGGACGGTAACACCGCTAAATTGTTTGCTATATTTAAAGTAAACATAATTTGTAGCAAAATTTTACGAGCTGATCACTGAGAGAATGTGCGATGCTTTCTTTTGGCAGAGAATTGAATATTAAGTGAGCTTGTTAACCCTTGAGTGTAGCAGATGGCAATTTAATGGATATGCGGATATTTTTTGATAAAGTAAATTCTTAGTTTTATGTGTGTTATATATTCAAATTTCTAGATGATAACGTTTAATCTATATACATTAGGGCAGAGTAAATTAATTTCGAAAAAAGAGTATGGTATATCCGAATTCTACGTTCGATGCTAAGCAAAAATGGTGAACAAATTTTGTACCAAAAATTACATTTGACCCTCTGAATTTTTAAAATAAAACTCAGTGTTTTATAATTTTTCCTAAACGAAATTAATTTTTAATTTATGAAATCTGTTTTCTTCATATTTAAGAAACTATTTCACAAAACCGAGAAAATATAAAATTAATTATGTCAAAAAAGTTAAAATATGCTAATTTACCTTTTGAAAATTGGGAGGGTCAAACGTCAATTTTGCTGTGTAGTTTGCTCGCCGTTTTTGCTTCGAATTAATCGCTTTCTTCGAAAATTTTGCTCCGAACAAATTGCTCCGCCCTAATGTACATATGTAGATAAAAATGGATGTTTGTTCGTTTGAATTCTATAAACGTCGAAACCATACCTCCGTGCTCGTCTCGGCGAGGAAAAAGTTTGTAGCTATATTTTGAATAGGGCTGCCAACTATTTGAAATGTCGAATTTGATTAAATTATACACAAGTTATATGAAATTATATAATATGAGTGTCAAACGAATCATCTCGGCGAGGAGAAAGTACAGAGGTTTATTTTTTGAAAAGTAGAACTTTTGCTATTTAAAAAAAATTTGTGTTTTTTTTATCCTGGTAGCGACCCCTTCTTTTTATACCCGAGCGCACTTGTGCACAAGGGTATTATAACTTTGTTCACATAACGGTTGTTTGTAACAGGCAAAACGAATCGAGATAGATATAGACAAATGTATACATAAATGATCAGAATGAAAAGAGAAATCGATTAAGCGGTGACTGTCTGTCCGTCCGTCCGTCCGTCTGTGCACACGATAACTCGAGTAAAAATTTAGATATCTTAACGAAACTTCGTACATGCACTTCTATTAGGCGTGGGACGGATGGGATTGAAAATGGGCGAAATCGGACAATAACCACGCCTACCTCCCATATAACGGTAATTTTCAGAAATACGAAAACTGCGATATTTTAGTAACTACTAAAGATAATTCACTCAAAATTGACATTTAGAACAACTTTTAGACGAGAAATAAGAATATTAAAAATTTTTGAAAAATGGGCGTAGCCACGCCTACTTATAGTTACATGTGTATATTTTGGAAACCGCTGCACCAATTTCTTCCAAACTTAGCACAGTTGTTGACCCTGGTACAGCATACCAAATGGCCGAAAATTTTTAAAATCGGACAATAAACACGCCCACATCCCATATAACGGTAATTTCGAGAAATACGAAATCCTCGATAAATCAGTAAATATTAAAGCTAATTTATTCAAAATTGACGGTTGCAACAATTCTTTATCAGGAAATACGCTTTTGATAAAATTTTGGAAAATGGGCGTGGCACCGCCCACTTATGATCACATTTATGTATATCAGTAACAGTTGTAGCAATTTGTACCAAACTCATTATGATTATTGTGCTTGCCACATAAAAGCAAACCGTTGAAAATTATTGAAATCGGACTAAAATTGCGGCCGCTTTTCATATAACGGTAAATTTCAGAAATGCTTGAAATTTCAATATTTCGAAATTTAAGGATGCTAGTTTACTTAATATTTATACACCCGCTTATCATGTACCGGTAGTTTTCGGAAAGGTGGAAAACATATATTTAATACTTGCGCCGGGTATTTAATGTTCGGCTCCGCCCGAACTTAGACTTTCTTACTTGTTTTGAATTCAACTAAAGGGGTGCACCTTTATCTTATTATCTTAAGGGCCACCTTAATATATGTATATGTAATTCTGAATATGTTTGAAAGTATGCTGCTCACAGTTATAAGTTTAAGCTACTGATTGGCTTTTTTAGTTATAATTTGAGCTGTTTTTTCTTTATACGCGACTTTGATAATTCTCACTTTAAAGAGTTAATGCTCAAGCATCAGTTTACATGTGACCCATTTTGATCTTCATATTGTTAATGCAAGTTTCACTATTTCTCTTTCACTCTCTCTCTCTCTCATTTTTAATTCCCTCTACATTAAGCTATTTTTAAAATAACATTTCAAAATATGTTGTTTCGAAAAGATACAAAGGAATTTTCGACACGTTGAATTAGTGGTGTAAACAGCGGCAAATGAGCGATCAGTGCGGACGAGCAACAACATGCTGAAGAGCTGACCAGTCTCGTATGCATTAGCGCTTTCAGTTAGTGGCGAAGAGTGGGCCGAAACTGCAACATAGTGAAAGTTGCCGGTCAAAAAAGAGCGATAAAAGTGATAAATAATTTGTTTAAAAAATAATAAATATATTAAAAATAAGTAATACATATATTAAAAAAAAATATTAAAACAAAAGCAAAAGACCTTAAAATACTAAAAATTAAATCTTTTATGTAATTCGACTCATGTGACTAAGAAACATTAAAAAAGTGTATATGAAAAATTTTTGGGAGCAAGTTTTCGAATTTAATTTAAAATTCACCGGACATTTGTTTACATCGGCATGCGCTTACGTTAATTTTTTTATCAACACACAGACATATGTATGTGTGTACATAATCCGTACAAACAGTGACTCAAACAAGTGTTCACGTTTTAAATATTTTTTTTTTTTTTTGTAAATATTCGCAATGTTTCTCAAATAAAATTTTGATTTGTTATTTTTTTCTAAAAATACTAACCAAAATTATATAAAGTTTCAAACCTTATACAAAATTAAGAAAAGTAAAAAAAATAATCTCCATCAAAATCATTAATTTTACAATCTGAGTCTTCAAAGCATTCATGGATGTACAGTTTTATAGGTCGTAGAATTCGATATCACAAAGTGCCATTTTTAAGCGACTAAAACGTTGCGTTGTTTTTTAATAAATTCTTTTTGCTGGCGGCCTTTGCGTTTTTTATATAAAACATGAACAGCATTTTTATAAAACAATAACAAAAAAAAATTTACCTTGAAAAACATTATAAATATGTATTTATAGGAATCAACATGTGAACACTTGTTTGAGTCACTGTATGTCTGTGCGAAATTTTTGGCTTCAGGGACTCTATTTTCGTTTTCATCTAAGCATGAATACGTAAGATTCGGTAAATTATAGAAATAAATTAAAATACGCAAACATCGAACAGGCAAGTGCCATGCCAGCACGTTGCCAAACGATCAGCCAACATTCACTCGTCTTCATACATACTCAAGTATAAACATGCAAATACATACAAAAAGAAATGTAAAAAAAATATAAGGCAACCACACGATCAGCAACAGGCAAGCGAAACGGCAAAGTAGAAAAATTTGGCGAAAAAATTTAATTTGATTTGTTATGAATACCTTAGTACCAGTAAAAAAAATGTGTAATTAAAAAAATAATCATACAAGCGGCACAGCGGTAGCCGACGATCAAAGCACAACGCCGCGTATGAGTAATTTTTTTGCAGCTTCATTGCTGGCAGGTAGGTGCCTTCAGCTGTGTCTACCTCGGGCTTTTTTGTGTCAAATTAAAAAAAAAAACAAAAAAAAAGATGAAAGCGCTTTCAGTGTTGACATAAAACAAAACATTTTCACCATCTTAAATTACAGCAGCAAAACGACAAAAAACGCATAGTTTAGTGATCTAATTACGCGCATGAGTTTAAAAAATTATTAACTAAAAAGTGTAAATAAAACACAGCGAAAATTAATATAAAGGAAAGCTGCATTTCTTTTGACATTGAAAATTTTAAAAGACAGCAAGTATTAAAAAAAAAATCTAATTTATTTTTGCCAATTTGTGGTGGGTTTTCTTTTCATAGGATGATCCATATACATTCATATTTGCATTAGATGCTGACACTAAGCGCTTTCTTAATTGAAAATTTGAGTGGTGGAAAATGCGAAAAATTTAGCACGAGCTTCTTTTGTGATCAAAAAGTATTTATAGCATTAAATCGCTATACTCTGCCGGCAATTATGGCAATAAGGTGACAGGGGGTGAATAAATTTTTTGTGCAAATGAAATCGTACATCCATTAGGGAGATGGTAATATCCTTCATCTCACCTTTGCTTCAAAAAGAATAAGAAGA